ACTTAACAACTATGTTGGGCTACTATTGACCTAACTATGTGCCAGAAGAAGGGTCATCAAGGTATGGCAATGTCTTTGACCACAAATAACTGAAACCGTGGAAGGGGGAACCACAGAGGAGTGGGGGATGCCCACATGAGAAGTAAATGTCTCTAATCTACCCTCTTGTCTCTGTGGCATGGTAGAGTCACAGAGATCCAAGCTCAGTGGGTTTCACACAGATCCAGGAGGTCCCGGAGAATCCCATGAGAAGTGAGGGGAGAACCTAGAAGCCAAAGTGACTTTCTCAGTTTCCTGGTTCCTTTCCTGGGAGCATCCAAGGAGACTTTCTCTTTTGCCTCCATTGTACTTGGAATTCTGGGTAGAGTTTTCATCCAAGGGGAAAGAGTACTTCTTAAAAAAAATAGCATAACTGTCAGGCGGTGGTGGTGCACACCTTAAATCCCAGCACTCAGGAGGCAGAGCCAGGTGGATCTCTGTGAGTTCGAGGCCAGCCTGGGCTATGGAGCGAGATCCAGGACAGACACCAAAACTACACAGAGAAACCCTGTCTAGAAAAAAAAAAAAAAAAAAAAAAAAGAAAAAAAAAAAAAAAAGACAACTCCTACCTACTATAGTCCACATTGGATTAAATATATAAAGGTGACACCCAGGGAGGCCCCACTCAAGTAAGAAGTAAGCTTCTCCCCTCTTTTTACCAATGTCAAGCGCTCACCACCACCGCTCAATAACCACACACACACACACACACACACACACACACACACACACACACACACACACACCTTTGACTGTTACCTCACTACTCCCAGAGTCAGCCAACTACCGAGTGCCCCTGTTCATGCTCTCTTTCCAGTCTGCTAACCTCAGGGTCTATATGGTCTCCACCTGGGGTCACAGGACTCTGCTGCTGAAGCAAGCCGTCAGAATTCTGATTATTCAGAAGAGCTCAGCACAGGGGGCTGGAGAGATGGCTGGAGAAGAGGATTTTCTGTTCTTACGGAGAGGACTCAGGTTCAGTTCCCAGTACCCTGTACATGGTCACTTACAACCATCTTTAACTCCAGGACAGTTCCAGGAGATCAGGTGCCCTCTTCTAGCCTCCAAGGACCCCAGGCATGTATGTGGTGCACATACATACATATAGGCAAAGCTCTCATGCATATAACACATACAAAATAAATAAATCTTTAAAAAAAAAGGCAAAATCCTCACCAAAGTCTGCCCTGAGTTTTTATCATCAAATTCAGGCAATACCATTAGGAGCTCTGTCTTAATTCAGGCTCTCTAGGAGGGCCTAAGTGAAGGAGTAGGAAATTCTTTAATCTTCAGTGGGGTGTGGGGGCAGTATCAGGAAACCCATAGGCAGATTAGATGGTGCTCAACTAGGTGATATGAGCAGAGATGTAGAAATTTAGGGGGGGGAAATTGGCATTTTACTTTTCAAATAAAAGCACTTAAGTATTCACGAAGAGGGAAAAATCTAAACTCTGAGACTGTAAGAGTTAGCTTTCTCTTCCCTAGAAGTTATGTGTGTGAAGGTGTCTCACCAGGTCCTCTCTCCCACTGACCCCTGACCTGCCCAGCTCACCCCTCAGGCTTCCCTCCCAAACGTGTCTGCTCCTTCTCTGTGGGAAATAGATTGGCCCCAGGTGAAAGGTGTGCACTGAATAGTTACAAAATGAACTCCCTCGTCAGCTCACCAAACAGGCTCAGTGGCTCCCGCCTTAGCAGGGTCTGGTTCCCTCCTGGTGTGAGACTGGCCTTAAGGGCTTTGCCCTTGAGTTCAACTTTCTCTCCACTTGGTTCGACGGCTCTGAAACCAGACAGAAAGCGTTTATGAAGTTCTTTGGGAGCACAATAAAGGCCCACAAAGTAAAGGATGATCTAGCGCTTCACAAGAAATTCTAGCTAATTCTTATTGGGGCAAGCTTGTACTTAAGACATGCAAGCCCCTCCCCCCCACACACACACAATCTAGAAATGAAAAGATCAATTATCAAGAAGAGATGGAGAAGGATTTACTGTGTTTTCTTTACAGTTTTTACTGCTGTCTTTCAAGAATTCAGTTCTCTCCAAGAAAAATAAGACAGAAATTCTAGTATTTATCTTTGTGGATATATGTCTGTGCAAATGATGTGTGATATTTTATGAGAGGGTGCAAACGTGTGTACAGGACTGAAGTGTGAATTACTGATACGTGTATGTAATTGATGGGAGCTCGGGATCTGTGTGTGTGTGCTTCTGAGTGTGAATGCAGCCCGAGCAAGAATGCCCATTTATAAATGTATGGGTATTGAAAGGGTTAACAACACACAACTGAGGCAGATGTTAATGAGTCCACAGATATTTCATTAAGTGTCTTGATTTTCTTCTGATAAAGAATTGATGGGGGGCGGGCGGGGAGACAGGGGAAAGCAGGAGGGTTTTCCTTTTCCTTTCAGTTAATAAATTTCAACAGCAGGAGTGCAGACTGTTGACTACAGAGCAGGGTAGAGTTAAGCAACAGTTCTGTTGTGGGGCAGTAACTAGGCTGAGTGCGGATAAGAAATGAAACCTTTCTGGAAGGAAGTTTTGTTCCCGACTCCATTGCTGGTCTGTGTGCGTGGTCTAAAGGCAGAAGGCCTGGGGTTCCGGGAGTCGAGGGGAGAACGTCCTTTAAGAGGAACTGGAGCCTGGGCGTTGGTGGCGCACGCCTTGAATCCCAGCACTCGGGAGGCAGAGCCAAGCGGATCTCTGTGAGTTCGAGGCCAGCCTGGTCTACAGAACGAGATCCAGGACAGGCACCAAAACTACACAGAGAAACGCTATCTCGAAAAATCAAAAATAAAATAAAATAAAATGATTAATTGGAGAGAAGCAGGGCGCGGGGGTGGGGGGGGTTGCTTACATGATGGGAAACCATAAGGTTACTAAACAGGAGCTCTGCTCAAGTTTCCCTGTGTTCTCAAGTCCCCCCTTGGAACTTCAAGGGAACACAGGAGAAAGTTCCAAGGCACATTTGGGGGTGAGGGTGAGGCCGGGCAGTTTTCTTGGAAATAAATACATACATACATACATACATGCATGCATACATAAATGAATAAATAAATAAGTAAGTAAATATGTAAGTAAGTACGTAAATAAATAAATAAATAAATAAATAAATAAATAAATAAAACCACCACCCCAAAAAAACGTGGCAGGGCCTGGCCCAGTAGCTCATTCTTTCCTCTGCTCCTTTGGCAAAAGAGCAAGTGAGCTAAGTGCCCGCTCTAAGTACCCTCGTCGGAGGGCTTCTACCCGCCCCTTTCACCTAATGAAGCCATAACTGATAGGCCACCATGTGACCAGCTGGAAGACACTGGTGCCCACGTTGGGGGAGCGCTTTGGGGCCTGTCTGCAAAGCCCTCAGGCGTGGGCTGCAGAGGCAGGGGAGGGGAGGTGGAAGCACCTGGGTGGGAGGGGTGGACCCATTGTCCTCCGGGCCTGGGGAGGATGCAGGGTCATTAGGTAGAGGATGGTACTGTAGCTGTTAGCCTCGAGGAAACGGGCTCACTTTTGTTTTCTACCCAGTAGGAAATGGACCTGAATCCATTAGATTCTGGGCAGTTCAACCCGGCACAGTGTGAGCCCTTGGAAGCTAGATGCCGGAAAAAGGCTACTCGTGTGGATTTGTGTCCCACCACCATTGTGCAGCGTGCCTATCATTTATGCATTTAAAGCCTGTCAGGCTGGCAGTCGGCAGCAGAGGGCTGGGAGACAGTAATGCCAACAGACACAGGGTCGTCTGCTAAAGTGCACCTGTAGAGTTAAAAATGCATGACCCATTCCCTCTTTGAGGGAACACAGGAGAAAGACCCCCGTCCTGGAGGGTGTCTGCTGAGCTGTAATACATAATTCACGGGCCCATGCTGGTCCATGCAGATGGCGGTATTAAATCGTGATTGATGCTCAGAGACACACAACGCTCAGGAACGGCTCCAAGAGGTTTCGGAATACTTCTGTGTCTCCTGTGCCCCTCTGCTCTAACTGGGGTATTAAGCAAACCCCACTATTTCCTAAGAACCCCTGCTAAGGATGCCAGACGGTCCCTCCTGGATAGATGAGAATCTTGAAATGTCATCACCTACCATTTCAGCCTTTGAAAGTGGCCCCGTCCCTCCTGTTTACCTCCAGGAGAGGCGTGGGACGTGGAGGAGGGGGGAGCCCTCTCTTCCCCTGCCTCTCCCTTTCCAGAAGCACCAGCACACTCTGGTGGCCACGGAGCCAGAGGGACAGTGGGCAGAAAGCTAAGGCGTCTGGTCCACCCCACACAAAGCACCTTTGTGGAAAAGCTGAGATCGGAGCCAGGGATCCTCCAATACAGAGCCTTCCACTGGGTGTATAATGAAATAATAAATCAAATCTGTGGTGTGCGTGGAATTCAATGTTTGGGGGGGGGCAGTTCTTTTAAAAAAACAAGCTGAAATCACACTCTAGGGCCTGTTTTGGCCCAAAGCTGGAAGTGCCTCCTTACACCTCTTGTAATTGTTGCCAGGTTTGTGGGTTGGTACCACAAAACCACGATTGTCAGTTCCTGGAGCCCGGCTGCTGGCTCCCTGTGCTGGGCTAGGAGACACCCAATAAAATGAAGGATTTATGAGACAAAGATAGAGATGGGAGGCTTGAAGGAAGAGAGGAAGGTGGCCAAGAAAGGGAGACAGGAAAAGGCAGGGAGACTTCTTAAGAGTATGCTCTTATTTTCATAATCTCCAGCCTTCTTGTAACTGGAATATTTATGACCATCTTCTGGATTTTGTGTGTGTGTGTGTGTGTGTGTGTGTGTGTGTGTGTGTGTGGTTGGGTGGCTACGAGGAGCGAAGAGCTGAAATAATCTCTTCCACTGAATGAATAAATAGGTTAGTCTCCTGGACTGCCATAAAAGGTCTGTAAAATAGTCACTGGGAGAGGGAGGGAAGGCCGAGGGAGGCTGCTGGAGCATCTCTCAAGTCCTTTGGTGCCGTTTCCCTCTCTTCCAGACCCACCCTGTGGAGGTCGGCTGAATTCCAAGGATGCTGGCTACATCACCTCCCCGGGTTACCCCCAGGACTACCCCTCTCACCAGAACTGTGAGTGGGTCGTGTACGCACCGGAACCCAACCAGAAGATCGTCCTCAACTTCAACCCTCACTTTGAAATCGAGAAACATGACTGCAAGTAAGCACAGCCCTGTGGATGGGGACACACACATCTGGCCACTGTCCTTCTGTTTTGTCCACGAAGGGCAGTAGTGGGTCCCAGCCACAGAGGGACACATAAAGATGGCATTCCCTTTTAGGAGAGGGAGGGTGGAGTTGATTCTGTGGTATTATGAAGAACTTTCTGGAATAAGGCAGAGAAAATAGCAATGCCCTGTCTGCAAAAGTTGGCAGTGGGGAGAATTTCCATGGGGGGCAGGAAGTGGGCTACAAAACCCCACTTATTGGCTCTATGATTTATCTTCCCTTGGAGAGCACCCCCATTTCAACTGCTGCCTTATCAGGGAGCCCCACCAGATTCCCAAATAAAATAGTAGCTAGATCCTCAAATATATCCAGCACTGGGGATTGGCTTATTGCTTTCTGAGGGAGGGCTGCTCATTGCTTTAAAAGAGCAAGAAGTACTGGGTTGACGAAGACAGATTTAAGACGCCAATTGATTCTTGATGTCTGCGCTGCCCAGGTTACTATCAAAGATGCAGGTATGGATTTGCTGTACAAACACAGTTCTAATTGCCCTACGAATAATTAAGCCACTCAGTTCTCACCATGGCCCTGGGAAGTCACTGCCATCATGACCTCCATTTTAACAGGAGAGCACCAAGGCACAGAGAAGTTACGTCAGTCCCTCAAGGTGACTCAGCTGACCCTGCCACAGGACATCAGTTTAGCCACCTTGGGAATGTGGACAGCTAGACAACTGCTTTTGAGATGCCGTGCTTGGGCGGGTGGGGAAGCAGAATGAGTAGTCGTGTAGAGAATAGAGATGGCTGAGTGGGTTATGAAAGGTGTTTCCTTGTGAATCAAAAGTGAAAGTGTCCAGTTCACAAAAGAATGTGCCAATGGCAGTTTTGGTCTTTAACCATAAGCTCTGGTAAGCGTTCAGTATTCACATGATGAACAAGCATTCTGAGCGTGACTGTGCCCAAGGAACTGTGAGCCCTGAATAATGAATAAGGGGACAGCTTGTGGGACAGGTATAAGAGAGCAGGCGATACTCCTGGCCTCCATCACAGACGGGCTTCGGTCCAGGCCAGCACTTCCTCCGAAGGAAACAAGAGCTGTCTGTAACTAGGGCTAAACTCTGAGGCCTGGGCAACCATGGTCATTATAATCCTCCCAGGACCACTTTGCACCTACAGAATGGTTTCCTTCTAACAGGAGGTAGCCTGGGTTGAAAATCAGAGTTTCCCGGATGGATGCCCCTCATGACCAAGAGTCACAGGATGGGGTTTCTAATTCCAGGGCCAGTCTTGGCTGCCTGGATGACGTAGCAGATCAGTTCCCTTTTATCTGTGCTACACAGACAAGCTAGACGCATTGACTCAGCATCCGTGGGCTTCCACTTCCCCAACAGTGAACTTTACAAAGAATTTGGGTTAGAACGGTTTCTGCAAAGGTATCTCGGGTCCGGGAGCCTTTGGCTAGGCTTCAGAAGGGTTGGCGTCAACTGAAGTATAATGTACAGGGTGCTTGAGAGTGAGCTCAGAGAAATTTGACTAAGCACCTCTCTGGATGGAGGGCCAAATTCGGTTCTGCTGATACCAGCAAAATCTCTAGGGGAAATTGCTAAGAGGCCATTTCATGGATATTCACGATGACAGAGGGAAAGGGCCCAGCTCTTTAGAAGGTTGGATCCAGATGGCAATGAGCAAAGTTCCAAATATATTGGGAAGACGAAAAGGAAGCGCACTCCAGCCCTGGGACCCATCCCCCAGGGTAGAGAGAGCCTGGTGTGGAGCACTGGTCAGCAGAAGGGACACAAACCTCACCCTTGCTGGAGTCTGAAGGGAGGAAGCAGGCGAGTTCCAGGCTCTCTCCCAGCATCTCAGCCTTCCTAAGCAGCTTCCTGTTTTCCTCTACACTCCCCATCCATGCTGCTGGCTTCAACCTAAAAGGTCGAAGAGGTCAGAAAAAAATCTTTCTGGAATCTATTTCCCCCCTCCCCCCCTCTCCTTCCCCACCCCACCCCCCAAACTGTCAGCAGGGCTCCTCTAGGGTTAAACATCATCCACCTATCCTTCTCTGGGTCCCCCACTCCCCATTCTCTGTCTCTCTCATTAATTTTTATATTTAGAAGGCCGTATCTGGTCTCTCAGCCTCGCGCTCATGATCATTTGCATGTGGAATAAGGGGCTTGCCTCTCCCCATGCCTCATTTTACTTTCTTGGGAAAGGAACATTTCATCTCATTAAATCCTGGAAATTTTGTCTTGTTCTTAACACTCTTTACAACTCCTTCTCTTCCACGCTGCATTTTTTTGTTTCCTCCAAAGAGTTCCTGGGTTTGTAAAGCATTTGCTATCAAAGGAAATCAGCCTCCTCTCTCTTTGCATCTTGGGGACATGTTCAATTGTCTACCTCAAAGCTTCCGTGGTGCCTGCCTCTCCCAACAGAAGACTGCCTCAGCTGCCCTTCTGTGGGTGGGCAACAGCTCTTAGCAGGAAGGAGAAGTGAGGAGAAAAAGCTGCCCACGTTTTTCTCTTCTGCTTTCTGTACATGGAATTACCTAGAAAAATTGCCCTTTGACCTAAGACCAGGGCCCTGGCAGGAAGGATTATTCTGGTGTGTGGCACCTCACCCTTTGTCTTTCTATTCCTTAAAATCTCCACACACACACACACACACACACACACACCCCAAGATCAAGGCTGTTCCTGAGCAGACCCCAGACGGACCTTTTCCTGACCATTGCTTGTTCATTTTGTTCCACTGAAGCTTGCTGTCTGCTCGGAAAATTTCACTCACAAGAGTCAGCCAGTTCTGTGCCAGTGCAACCCAAAGCCACCCTCTGTTAGCTTTCCCTGCCTCCTCCCTCAGGCTATCCACAGGGAGCCAAACCCTAAGCACACTGTCCTGGGGACCCACTAGCTACTACAGGCAGAAGCAAAGGCCGCTGTGGTACTGCCAGCTGCCTGTGCCCAGGGACAAAAAGACAGGACTCAGGGCTGTCTGGGCAAACAGAGAGAATCCAATTCATCCCCCCTGGGAGCAGAAGATACCAGGAGGCTGCTGCCTCGGCAGACAGAGAGGCCATTCGCTTGAGTCATCAGCCAGAGGGTTCGATGTTATGGTTTTAGAAACACACACACGAGGCTGAGTATTTTTCCATTTCTAAAGTTTGAACTGTGTATTTTTTTAAAACACTTACTAACATGCCATCCTACACAACTTATTCATCATTCTTCAAGCAGGCCACACACACACACACACACACACACACACACACACACACACACACTAGTGTAGAGGCCCAACCAGGGGTAACTAAAATCAAGAGCTAGTTCCTTGAAAGAACAAGAGCTTACCAACTAGGTATCTTGAAAATATTTTTAGGAAGTTCAAAAGCCACTAGGAAGCCATGAAAATACATTTCTTAGGCCAACAACCTCACACGCAAGTCTACATAGATTCAGAGCAAAATACCTCATATATGTCAAAATTGAAGAACGGTGTTTTCCTGGGTGGAGTTCCTTAGTGAAAAAGTCCTAGAGCGTTTTAAATCACATGCCACACTTCCCTATTTTCTTAAACAAAGTCAACAGCTAAGGAGAGTCATTTTTCGTTCTTGATGATTCAGGACAGTAATCCACTTCTCCCTGAGCGATGGAGGCCAAGTAATGTCCTCTTTGGAACTGACTTAACTTGATGAAATGTGCGCTTGGGTGCAGTACCGGCAGAGGTCAGGAGAGGGCGCAAGATCCCGTTGTGAACTGCCTGATGTTGGTGCTGTGAACGGAACTCTTGTCCTCTTCCAAGAGCAGTATGCACTCTCAACCGCTGAGCCACCTCTTCAGTCCACATTTGAGTTTTTGCTGAGCTTTTAAACGTCTAAGCCACCAGTTTACCCCTTCCTCAAAACCATGATGGCAACTACTTTGTTGTACCCATTTATGTCATTACAATAAGTTAGCAAGCATGTTAAATGCCTCTGCAGGGTGTCATGGGAAACTTGAGACCATTTTCTCGTGGTATTCTTTCGTAAATTTTTATTTATTTATTTATATTTTCTGTATAAGTGCTCCGCATATGTACCTGCAGGCCAGAAGAGGGCACCAGATCTCATTACAGGTGGTTGTGAGCCACCATGTGGTTGCTGGGAACTGAACTCAGGACCTCTGGAAGAGCAGCCAGTGCTCTTAACCACTGAGCCATCTCTCCAGCCCCTTCTCCTGGTATTCTTGCTATCGATTCTTGTTATGAGGAGGCTTCCTCCTACAGCCTCCCTCTTCTGACTTCTTTTGAATTTTATTTTATTTTATTTTGTATGTGTATCACTTTGGCTGTAGAAAGTCTTCTCTGCCTATGCTAAAGATTAGGTCCTGGGGTTCAAAATTTCAACCTTAAGCCAGTGCAAATTCAAGGCCAATAATTTTTATTTGCTTCATTCAGCCAAGGTCACAGCAGAGTAAAGACTTCCTGAAGACTGACCCCCAACAAACTCTGAGCATGACACAGCACCCATAGTTCTCAGTGTTGGTTTAGATTATGGTTCCTTCTGCTCCCCGCCCCCAGCCCCCCCCCCCCGCCCCAGTCCACTACAATATGGAAATGGGCATTGGGCCGCTAGCCAAGTATTCTAACTAAACAAGATACTCTTGTGTTTACTCAACTACAGAGGGGTCCTTTAAGTCTGAGAAGATGTGTCTGTCCCTCTCACAGTAGGTGACCATATTTTAAAACAAGTAGCAGATTTCTGGATTGATAAATTAATGCTGATGTTAAACAGAGAAAAGAAACCAGACCTCAATAATCTGGTCACCACCACCACCACCACCACCCTGCTCCCCACCGAACAATTAGTGTTTCCCTGTGCCCGGTAAACATCCAACATTTCCAGCAGCCGAACACAGCCTTCCGTCTGTATGAGGACTCCTGGGCTCCCGCTGCACACACTGTCCCCCATCCCCTGACCACTCTGCCCGGGGGCTCCTTGCTCTGTCTACAGTGCCTTTTATTA